TTGCACCACCAAACACATTAAAATGAAAGTAATGAACGTGGTTTAAGAATGTAAGGACTGGAAAATAAAAATATTTATGTAAAAATAAGGAGTAAAAGTAAAAAGCTGATAGACAAATAAATAGTGAAGCAAAGTACTGATAAATCCACTTAAGGACTAAAATTTACTTAAGGACAGTAACAAAGTATTTGTACCTTGTTCCTTCCCATCTCTGTCCAGCAGTGAAAATCTTGGCTGTGGACAATGAGAAAATGTATTGTTCTCTTATAATTCCCCCTTCACTGTTTTTCCCCCATTCAGGATTGTTACAGTGTGGGAAAACCACAAAGAATATCTCAGGCAGTCGTTGGATTTACCCAGTTCACCAGGACACGCACACCTGTTCCCAATCACCTGATTTCTAATTACCAGCACCTGAGCACAGACACACGCACGCACGCACGCACTATAAGAGCACTTCTGTTCACTTCACCACTGCCGGTTCTGATGAGTGTTCACCCGATCCTTCTCCAGCAATTCTCCTGCTCCAGCATCTTAGTGTTTCTCCTCAGCGTCTCTGTGTTACTCCCAGGCTCCTGGTTTCCCATTGTGTGTGTGCGGTGTGCGTCTGCACCGGATTTCCCCATCTCTTCTTTAAACTCTCATTCAAAAGATAAGACTTTGAATACATTGTTGTTGTTTTCAATAAACTGTTTTGATTTCTACACTTCTCATGCCAAATCCTCATTGTGTTGTGACAGAAGCTTACCACCCAGATTGTTGCATGACTAGAAGTATACATGCAATATTAAAATAATTGGGTTAAAAATACCCAACTTAACATATAACATATACAGTTTTCAATAATGCTGAAAATGCTTATTTCCATTACATTTTAATTTCCAGACATGTGTGTTAAAATATATCAAGAATCACAAACAATGAAGAAACAGAACAAAGTAGACAGCCATAAACTGTCAAGCAGAAAATTATGTGTTGATGGAGCAGAATATGGACTTCTGTGTGCCAAAGAGCCTGTTCAGCAGCTGCAGCAGGCTGCACTCAGTCTCCACAATGAGCAATACATTTAACCACATCCAAACACTTCGAAAAGATGGTCTTGCTTTGGTGATACTCCTCCCATGATAATGAAGATTTTGTACTTTGGGATTTTATCCCAAAACTCCACGACATGATGGATTTGCCAGTACATACCAATTGATGTCTACTCTAACCTTAAAAAAGAAATAAAAAATTGTAAATTTGCACATGTATGCAGGACCAAATAACAAATATCATGTACTTACCTAGTTTAGCAATAGAGAAATGATAACTGGAAAGCTGCAGAAGGTCATCTCCAGGGCCCGGTTTTTCAAAAGTAATCCACTAGGATTTTGGATAAGGGATTGGATCAAATCTTGAAAATGGGTTTTTCAAAAGAAAAAATGGATTACATAATCGGATTAGATCACGTAATCCAATCTTGGTTTTAATCCGGATCAAACCTTTAGTTTGGGTTTTTCGGACCTTTTTTGTAGGATCTGGATCACTTTGATCCAAAAAACATGGATTAAACTGATCCCATCAGAAGGGTGGATTTAGCGTGGATTTCATGCCTAAAATGTAATGAAAACTTAAAAAATTTATTAAACAATACTATTTCTGGATCATGCAGTATCTTACGAGATATACTATGTATTCATAAGGTTTTAATTTTATTTGTTTATCTGTCAGGCTATAGTTATTATTGGCTTTAACGTATTTAGCCTTTCTGTATAGGCCTACAGCAAAGTAGAAAGAGTTTAGCCTCATAAAATAATTCCCCAAACAGCTGTCAAAACTGACCAAAAACAATCAATTTTATTCTGTCACTAATTGATATATATATATATATATATATATATATATATATATATATATATATATATATATATATATATATATATATTCATCACAATGGAAAATATTTTTCTTTTAGAATATTTATTAATGATGATAGCAATGATTACAGAATAAACAAAAAATGCAAGAAATGGCAATGACTGATTTTTGAAATCTCTTTCAACAATTGCAAAAAGAGACTGAAAGGGCAGAAGCACAACTTCGCCTGGCAGAGGAACAACTGACTCTGACCAAGCTGCAGCAAACCAAGGCCAGACTTGAGATCCCCCTCCTAAAGGATACGCTTCACATCAGATGAGGAAGTCTGAGATTATTGTGGAGTTTTTGACATTGAGTATTTTTTTTATTTACATCTATATTGGAAACTTATTATAAATATCCTCAATGTACAGTGTTTGTGTTGTAGGTCTCAGATGAGCGGACTGCTGGAAAAGGATGGGGTAGGCTTTTTCTTGTTTTTCTTATTTATTATTATTATTAATTTAATATTTATTACATTTTCTTAGTTTTCATTTAAAAAAAATAAATTATATTGACCCCACGCTGGCTATTCTACTTGTCGCTCTTAACATATCTACAGTTCTACATTGTGATTTCCTATCCTGTTTGAGCACTGGTAATCCAGATTTAGTGATCCTGAAAAGTTCCTATCCAGATCAGATTGATCCAATCCAATGTCGCTTTGAAAAACTGGCTCAAAAAGTAAGCTGGATTACCTGATCACGGATCGCAAAAATAGAATTACTAAATCTGGATCAATTTGATCCGGATTAAACCTTTTGAAAAACCGGGCCCAGGGGTATCTTAAACAGATAGAGAGAGATAAAGAAACTATGAAAATGTGCAATTTTAAAGCCGCAGGATTAGTCTTTTGTGTGAGTTTTTAGGGTACATCACATTTGCAAATTGGGTGGGCAAATTTGTCAGTGGTGCACTGCTGTGCATCAGTGTGCTCAATTCTCATGCCCGGCCTCCTACACCAGCTGGGTTAAAAATGTGAATTTCAGCAGTCAACCAATTTAATTGACACAGAACAGCTGTCTTAATATGCATGCCTAATGTTTATTTAAGCCTAAAGTTTATTTAAGCTATAACATATAACATATATAATGCAATTATATCCTTTTTTTTTATCAAATTACCACTCTGTGTTATGTTTTTTTTTATATCTTTTTCTCCAGCACTTTTAATTACTGATGATACAAACGTGCGCTTCATAGTCTTTTTATATTGAACGGATTAAACTCTTTCTCTAGCTCCCTTGTTTATCTTTGCAGTTGTGCATAAACCACTCGGCCACTGCTAACGAATGCTTACAAGCAGACATGGTTGCAGTGGGCTCATACACATATGAAGACTAATATTCAAACAGTCTTGTTAACTTATGAGTGCTGTGCAACCCTGGATGGTACAGATGGATGGAGTAGTGGATGGATGATGGATGGCCATCATGTCCCAACAAGGCTGTGACATCAGCAAGAAGGTTTTGGAGTCATGTTTTGGGCTCGAATCATGGAGAGAGAGAGAGAGAGCTGGTAGGCCTTAAAATATTAAAAAATGACCTCAGCAAAGTATAGAGTTTCTGACTGACCAATTCCTTCCAAACATAAAAATAACCATGCCTTGGTAGCAAAATCAGCTTCATACATGACAATGCACCATTTCATACTGCAAAAATACTTCTGTAGCTGCTATGGGCATAAATTGGTGTGGCCACCATCCTCTCCTAAACTCAACCCTATTGGAAACAATTGGAACAGTTAGCATTTTTTGGTAATCTTCAATCAAAGTCGTACTGTCTGCTTTATTCGGTTGACTTTAACCCAATGGCTTTTATAGCAACTGCATATCAATAACCATGGTCCTCTTACCATTAGTTTGCTATAAGAAAATGATACACAGTAGACGGCACTTCCCCTAATCAATATTCTGTTTCGGTTGGAAGTACATTCGAATACTGAAACAAAAGTGTCAGCAACTTGTGGTTCACGAGGACTTTAAGCCTCCACATAATTTACTGGATATATGATTTGGGGGATTAATCAAAACTTTAATATTTATTTTTCCAGGCAGGTTTAAAATGTGAATTGACCTTATTCTCCGCCGACGAGGGGGCGCAGCCATTTGAATCTTTTTGGCACGAGACTTCCGGTCTCATTCACTTCCATTCATTTTTAGACATTAAAAACCGCTCGTTTCGTTGTTTGATGTTGCAAACTGATATTTCCTTGTTGTATTATTCTACTTGGTCTGTATATTCATGCAAACATTTGTTTGTAGAGCAAGTAGTTTGACCGTTTTTTGATGTTTATTATTCCTTGTCATTTCTCCCATAGGCAACTGAAATGGAAGTTCTAAGACAATCGCGAAAACATGCGCACTTCCGCATTTGAGAATAAGGTCAATAGAAAATGAACACAAAATAAACAACAGCTTAGCCTAGCATACAAAAACACAAAATAACATACCATTCTAAGAATAATTGTATAAAGCCAGCATACCTGGAAATAGGAAGGGACACAAAGAGGCTGTGCAGGAAGTCTGGCAACAGAATCTTCTCTAAGTGATTCACCAGGTCACTTTAAATACCCAGATACAGCTATAGCTATTTATCACCCTTTGTTTTGAATTTCAGTGCCTCTAAGGTTTGCATATTTGCTTAGGGATGAGACAAAGGTTATCAAAAAGGCAAGCGGAGGAGGCATTTTTCTCTTTATTTTGGCCTGCTATGTTGATGAGTAATCAAAACATTTTTACGTCACATGGAAGCAGCCCCGTGCAAACACTATCCAATGTGGGGGGTGTTGTCCTATGTGGGACAACATAGGTTGAGCCCCATCTGTGCACGTGCCAGCACGGAAGTACTTATACTTGACCCTAAACATTTTCAATGCCAGAGGGGAAGGATAGGTTATTTGTTCTTTCTTGTATGTCTTCATATTCCAGAGTTGTATTATTTCATTGTTATTTCATATTGAGTAAAATCCATCCTTACAGCAATATGAGTATTACATTAAACATTGAATCTAACTGCACAATATCAGTCTCATCTGACTGATATCTCAAGTATATTCAATATTAGTTTTAATATGAAAAAAAAAAAAACTAAAACAAAACAATGGCTTATGAGAAACAATGACTTGTGAATAACGTATTGACATTGCGTTAATAGTATATCACCATGTAATCCATAAAAAAAGTAGCTGTAGCCTGATTACAAGTATTTAAAAAAAGTGATTTTTGGATTCTGATTGCATTATACAGATTACATATAATGTGTTCCTCCTCAGCTCTGCCTACATCTTGAATAGCCATTAGGTAGTAAATGAATGTGTATTTAACATTTGTTTGTTCATTTAACTTGCTACAATAACTCTTTCATTCTATGATATTAAAAGACAATACAAAAAGAGTAAAAAATCATCAGAAAAGAAAAAATTTGAGTGCAATTTTGAATGCCTGACCATATAACTTTGCAGTTGTAATCATTTCTTCCTGTAGTTTTGCAAGTCTGGCAGCCTTGTCTGACAGTATATGGCGACACAGAATGTATTAAATTACAAATGCTTAAACTCTGTCTTTCAGCCTGCTGATGTTTTTTTATTCAGCTGTTCTCACACCTCTTTGAGAACTTTACAGCCAATCCAGGATGTTAAGAATTTATAGCAGTTGGAACAATTGTTACAGTTGTTAACATAAATAAAAAGACTGCAAATTTTGTGAAGAGAATCGGAACGTTTGAAGTTTATAACTGATTGACCTACATTGCCAGTAAAGCCATTCATCCCTTTCCAGGAAATAAACATCTAAACTGCGGCTTTGATTTTCCTGGCCCCAGGCCTGTGTCCTGTCTCCTATATCCTGCTCAATTCTCGCTGCAGACAACTGCTGACAGATGCAGACAATTACCACATTTTTAGGTCTCAGACATTCAATGATCCTATTCTTGTATTCAGCATGTTCAATCAAGAACAAACTGTGACAGAGTTAAAGGGATGAACATGTTAGTCATTATTAGTATTGTTTTACTAATTATTATTATTATTTTACTCATTAAGTAATTTCAAACCTTTAGGATTTTCTTTATTCTGTTGGAAGAAAGCGGAAAACCTGTAGTAATTGACTTCAAAAGAAATATGGAGGTCGGTGGTTACAGGTTTTCATAATCTTTCTAAATATCTTTTTTTGTTTTCAACAGAAGGAAGAAACTCATTAAGGCCTGAAACAAGTAAAGGGGGATGATAAACAATGACAGAATTATTATTTTTTTTTTTTAGGGGGAACTATCTTTTAAATACTTGGTAACTTATGTGAGCCAAGTAGTATTCATTCATTCATTTTCTTTTCAGTCCCTTTTATTAATCTAGGGTCGCCACAGCAGAATGAACCACCAACTTATCCAGCATATGTTTTATACAGCGGATGCCCTTCCAGCTGCAAACCATTATTGGCAAACACTCATACACTCACTAC